TTTGATCTCTTTGAGCATTTTTAATACTAATGCTTTGAAATCTTTGTCAGGCAATTTTATTATTTGTTCTTCCTCAAGGATTATTTTTGACCCCTACCTTTGTTCATTTGTTTGCATCATCCTTTCCTGTTTCTTCATGTTTTGTAATTGTCTGTTGTCTTTGGGACATTAAGATTTATTTGTTTTTACTTTAAAAGATCAAGAGATTCGCTTCTTATTTCCTGGGATTCACAGGGTCTTCTGTTCTAGCTGTACCCATCTGAGGACAGTTTGCAGTTTCCTCAGGTCATCTGGCCTGTGCTATTTCAGGTTCACTTCTCTGTGGTTAGCTGCTTCCGAGATCAGCTCAGTATGTGTGTGATTACTGTGTCAGGTTTGGATGGCAGTGTCAGCAATGCCTACCTGAGAAGAGGCACAGTTGCTGCACCAGTCTGGACCAGGCCAGCTAGTAAGGTGCTGGTCTGTAGACAGGTGAGCAGTCTAGAATGAGCTGAACCAGGGGCAGCACACAGGACTATGGGCATGGCTGCTGGCTCTGCTTTGGCCAGAGGAGATGCCACAGCAGGCACAATGTTTGGTACGGAATCTCAGGAATGATGTCAGTCCACAGATGCTATCCTTGGCTCCAAATATGTCCAGGGAAGGTGGCTTAGGCTCTGCATCAGCCCAAGGGCATGGCTGTAGCTATGGGGCAGGTCCAGGGGCAGTGGTTCAGGTGTTACACTGGTCCTGACCAGGTGCTTCAGGTTTTTGGGCAGGGTATGTGCTACTGTGGAGTTGGATTTGGGTGGGAGTGTCCACAGCATCGGGGCAGTTGTTGTTGTAGTGTTGCACTGGGATGGTCAAGTTTAAGACATCAGGTTGTGGTGGGCTCACCTTAGTGTGATAGGCCAAGGTGGGAGCAGGCAGCCTGTGTGGTGTCCTGCCATGGGTGTTTGGGAGGAATTCCTACTTCAGGCTAGCCAGGTGAGGAGCTCAGCCTACGGGTGTCTCCCAACATATATGGCTGGTTGGCTGAGCTGAAGAGTGTCCCCAGTCATCTCCAGCAGATGGACCACTTGAGTGATGCATGTTCATGGGACCAATTCCTGGTGATTACACTTTACTGCACTCTCCTGAGTTAAGGAGGCACAAACCTGCATGGTGCCACACCACTGCACATTCTTGGTGACCTACTGTGGTAGTTAAGTTTGTATGTCAACTTGGCTAGGCCTGGTTGAGTGGTGGGGCAGCTGGATGTAGTTATTCTCCATGGTAAGATTGGTAATTAACTCCATAGTGGAACGTATTGGAGCAGCTGAGCAGCCTTTGGGTATGTGGTCTGCTTCCCATATATAAGAAACATCTTTGGGAATGGTCTCTAGCCTATGGCATGCTTGAATCCTGCATGTAGCCGTGTCGTTGTTCAGCAGCCTGCCATGCTCTGCCAACCTGGGGACTTTCAAGAGACTTGAATTAATTGCCTGCTGTGTGGTTTGGTAACATCGGAACTGTGCCTTTTTACTTGTCAAACTTGGGTTTGTTAGCATCAGCAGCCAGTAGCTGCCTGAGTGAAAAGATGCCTCTAGCTTCAGTGGGCCAGAAGCAGGAGGCAGAGCTGCAACCCAAGGTGAAGGGGCTTTCACCCAGCCCCTAGAGTCTGGCACTTTGAACTCAGACTTCTAGCCTCCTGAACTGTAAGTGAATAAACTCTTGTTGGTTCAAGACCTCCCATTGTGGTATATTCTTACAGAGCGACATTAGGTAACCAGAACACCTACCCCTTTGGCACTCACATCAGCCTTCCCATTACTTGCCTAGGATTTCTTATGGTTCAGTCTGCACCACTCTCCTCTCACAGCCCTCCTCTGTGGTTCTTGGGATTCCACTCTATGCTATAGCTGAGAACCGTTCTCCCCCAGGTCTGCCCAGTCCTGGTCTGTGTCTGCCTACCTTTTTACTCTATTCTGGGCCTGTTTTTAATTTCTTCAACTGCTGAAACTTGTCCACCATGGGTGACCCTGCTAGGATTTGAAATACTGGTGGTATGGCTTCTACTATCACAGAAATATGCAAGTCACCACAGTACAACAAACTAACAGACCAATGGTGAATAACTCAACTAGGGATAATAAAATAAGATTAAATAAAGTGAGGGATTAATGGTTTGGATGAAGTTTCTTTATGACCTGAAGACCAGTGAAATTAGGGAGTCTATTGTTCTGTATATACCCTAAATATTTTTGCTTTCTGTTATTCTGTCTGTGGAAAGTGGAAATAATAGGGCTTTTGAGTAATTCTAGTCAGTTAGTGTTGTCAGGCTTCATTTCTTTCAGTTCCTAATGTTTATTGTTTGCTTAAGAGATGAAGTAAAACTCATGTGCCAGGTTTTAAGAAGTTTTAATGCTGCTCAATTAGCATAATAAAGGTCCACCCCATTAGTTGTTATGGAATATATGGAATTAATGAATCACTCTTGGACTTTAAAGAAAGAAGACTTTCTTTCCATAAGTTCTATCTATTTTCCCTCAACTTGTTATCCATTCCTTCTCCAGTTGCCTCCTGATGCTGACTTTCAACAGGACTGAATTACTACCAAAGCCTCCCTGACTGCTGTCACTCAGCCCAGATAATCTAGGTTTATTTTCTTTCAAAATGACTCTCATTTAATTCCTCTGCTCAAAACACTACCATAGTTTCCTATCACATTACATCTAAATTCAATTTTATTTTGTACTATTTCCCAAATAGCAGGTCCTCTTTACCTATGAGAACTGTCAAATGTGTTCGTTTTTTCTTATGGCAAAGTTTAAAAAACAAAAGAAAAGCAGACACCAAAATCCCTAACAGCAAAAGTTTATTTACAATTGAAGTTAAGGAATATTTTTTATGCATGCTGAAAAAACATTAATGCTCCAGACTTACAGGTTACTATTTGATAAAAATACAAGACAATGTTGGGAAGGGTTTTGCATACATAATTGGAATCTGTTGGTCAGAACACTTATACAACTAGACCCTTGCTATCAAAACACTTCCATATCACCTGCTTTTATGTTACATTGACACCATGGACAGCTCACCTTCTAACTCTTCACTAGCTATGTGAGCAATATCATCATGATTAAATGTTAAGATTAGGTCCTACGTAAGAAATACAAAAATGGCAAGCATCACATTTCAGAGCCTACATATATGAATACAACACTGACATCAATTAAAGATGAAACAGTGTTTTAACTTTTTTTTATTTTCTGAAAAAACACTGGGAAATGTTTAGCGCATAAGAAGACACTGCTTTGGTCCATCCACTTTTTCCAGCTTTTCAAAATGTTTCCTGGCATTTCGGATATTGATCAGAGTAGCTGCAGAAGCTGAGGGTAGGGGTGGGGAAGATACCAAACAGAATAAGTATGGATAGCCAAAACAATGTCTGACTAGTAAAAAGAAATAAACAAAAGAGGGCCAAATTCCTGAACATATGTCACAGAGGACATATAGGAATAGGAAGTCCCAAGTTACCATGGTTTAATTTTTTTTTTTTAATAAATAGATTAGATTATATTTTTAGTATTGACTAAACATGAAATTTCTAAAATAAAGAGGCACATATTTTTTTAGTTTGGTATTTATAGTACAAAACCCATTATCTTATGTAATATTTTAATATTAACATAAGGTGGGAAAAGCCAGTGGATCAGAGATAATTTAATGCTGGGAATATCCTGGAAATACAATCTTTATTTCAATGGCTGTGATGGGCAAGGCTACTGCAGTATGGAAGTACCAAACACATCCCTTAATGCCCATAAAACAAACATGAATATGGTTCTTAGGAGTATGCAATGACATATAAAATTGCTTAGCATCTACTAGTTCAGAGCTTAGACTTACTCATCTTTAAAAATATATATCTTATGGAGCATAAATCATATATTTAGGTTCTCTTTTCTTTAAAATTCCCAGATACAGTAACTTGATTTATGAAGTTCCCATGAAGAAAAACATAAAACCCTAGAGGCTAAAAGTTAAGACCATTCTTTTAAAGTTTCAAAATGTAAAAGACAAAACCAAATCCACTACCATCAAGCTGATTCCGACTCATAGCGACCCCCAGTTGGTTTATGAGGTGGTAAATCTTTATGGAAGTAGATTACTGTCTTTCTTCCACAAAGTGGCTGGTGGGTTTGAACTACCAACCTTCTGGTGTAGCAGTCGAGTGCCTTAAAAATCCTATCTACCATTAGTACTGGTTTTAAGAATACGTAAAAAAACCTGTCTACCACTCATACTGGTTTTAAGAATATGTGGATCAGACCTATGTCAGCTAAGATTAAACTTACGAATGGAGGGATCAGACATCACGACCATCACATAAGTGTTGGATGTAAAGATGTCAATGAAAGCAGCGAAGTTAGAGTTCCTGACTTCCATGCTCTGGAAAGAAGCAGCTAGCTTGCTGTAGGGAAAAGGAGAAAAGTAGTTAAAGAATGTAAAATAATAACAATAAAAGAAGTTCTTATCTTTATGCTCAACATTTTACAGCATTACACCTCAACTCACCACTTTATTAAGACAGTCAATCACTAATCCCATTTTGCTTTCTAAGGAAATTCTAATATTGAATTG